AACTCACCAATGTACCCCCTTGGCAGACATCATCCTCGCATCGAGGGATAGCCAAAGAAGAAGAATTGCAGTCATAACCCTGAGTTCCTTGAAACGGCATCCTGCATTTCAGCCCTCAGCTATTTTGTTCCCAGTTCATTAAATAATCTGAACTCGACTCACGGAATAGCATGAAAAGCAGATTTCATTTTTGTACGGGATGTAAGTTGTTTATTCCTGAAATATTTTTTTCTTCAAATACAAGTACCTGAAGCGCTTTTCCTTCTAGAGTATAAGTAGCTACTTCTTCATCATATAACCGAGGTGTGTAGAGCTCAAAAAGGAGACTGGAAGGGTGGAAGGGCAATGCTCCAGACTGTAGCATGCTGTATAGTACTTACGCTGATTTTAAAAGGGAAAGCAAAGTGGAGGTGGTTCACACAACAGTAGGTTAAGATTGAGACACTTTTCTTACACTTTACCTTGCTAGACAATCAATACTGGCAAAAGGCCAATCCTGAATCATTTATGTGAGCAATCGTTGTTCATGTAAGTAGTCTTTTTGTACTTGGTGCATGAGGGAAGGTTTGCAGGATTTGGCCCTAATGCACTGCTTGAAGCATGATTCATATGTGCTTGCTGTTAAAGACTTGAAAGTCTCCCTCAGGAAATCTGGTCACGAGTACCAGCTGTGATATTGTTCTGGCACTTTCTGGGGAGTAGAATAAATAGGTTAATGCACCACCACTCCACCTCTGGAGATCAGAGTTCAAATCTGAATTCTGGAAATGAGCACAGCTGACTGTTTGGATCTCTCAACCGATATCCTCTGGCTCATTTCTGGCTACTTAAAAAACAAACACAACTTGGCTTGCCTGGAAGCCTTTGTTCAAGGGAAGGCTGGGATGGAATAGGGGAGGTGGTTCACGTGAGTGCTGTATTTCATTCAGATTATGTTCATGAATAATCCACTTTCACTTCAAGGAAAGTTAGAAAAGAGAAATGAAATTTGGACTGCTGATCAAAGGGTGAACTTACTTCAATCCAGACAGAGACTCCGGCTGCATCCTTGAAGAGTTTTAATATTTCTCTCCACCAAGCCCCATTATTAAACAGGAGCCCTCCAGCTGGACGGTGGACCTGGGATTCCTAATGAGCACCTGTATGGAGTGGAGCAGAGCTTTGAGAGAGCAGCAGAAACAAAGTTATTGGCTTGGCATGCTGGGTGACCAGAGCAGTTTGAAAATTTGATTGTCTGTTGCAAATTGGTTTCTTAGAAGGGCATTTTGAAGTGTTTTTATTCATGCTATGGCTCAGCAATCACCTTTTTGAAGACCTGAGGAAAACTATCTGGTTCCAAAATGTGTTAACAGCATATGTTCAGAAATCAGGTCCAAGAGCAGACCTACAAAATGCCAACAAAACTAGAGCTAAGTATGATGAGTTTATTTCCTTCCTGTGTACCCAATTGAGGGTTTGTACAAGGAAATCATAGAAATGTAGGGCTGAACGGGCAGGGCCGGCTCTGGCTTTTTTGCCGCCCCAGGCAAAAAAGCCTCCCGCCACCCCCCACCCACCCCC